TACCTCAGGAGTCCGATCCCCCATCCTCCTCCCCGCCCCCAGACCCCGCAGGCCAGGCCCCAAGGAGTCTCGGTCCCAGCTCTAACTTTCCTCAAGCACCCTTGTCTTAGCCTCTAACCCCTGCTCTCCCTTCCTCCACCCAGAAGTCCTCTCTCCCCGTCCAGGTAACCCCTCCCTCCTCTGGGAGGACACATCCTCAGAACAGTACAGTGACTTGCCCGACTTTGTCACAGAGCAGAGCAGCCCCTGAAACGTGCACGCCTAACCCCAGGGCCCACTTACCATACACACCCACTGTGAACTCCTGAGTCTGCCGGGAGAGCCCTGCCCGGATGACCTCAGCTGTGTAGACACCCGCATCGTCCAGCCGGGCAGAGGAGAGTTCCAGACCCCCTCGAGCCTGGTCAAATCGCAGGCGCTTTCGGTGAGTAGGGTCCAGGCTGATCAGAGGACCCCCTGGCCCCAGGCCCCCAGCTGCCAGCACCTTGGAGTCCCGGCGCCAGACCACCAGGGGGGCAGGGGGGCGGAGGCTGGGGGCTGGGACCAAGGGGAGCCGGATGGTGGTCCCCACCAGCACAGCAAGAGGGCCCTGCACCTGCTGGGGGAAGTTTGCAGCTGGGTGAGTCCCTGCGGAAAATTTGGATTCCGGGCTCTGGGCAGAGAGTTCAAGATCAAGTTCATCAGGGGAGAACCTTGAACCTGGAGCCTCAACAGAGACTTTGGTATTGGGGACTTGAGCAGACATGTTTGAAGCTGGGGTCTTAACAGAGAAGGAAGGCATGGGGTCTTTGGCCGGAACTGGAGGATCTGAGATACCAGAAAATGTTTCAAAACCAGGGATTTCAGGGAAGGTGGGATCCAGGCTCAAGCCTTGGCCCTGGGCAGAAACATTTGACCAGAAGGACCCAGACACATTATTGGCATTCGAGGCTTCTGGAAGCCAGCTGGAATCAGAAATTCCAGCTGAGGCTTTTGAACCCACAGGCTGATCTGGCAATTTCCAGCGGGGAGGTTTGATGGAGGGAACTTCTGAACCCAGCCCCTGGGAAGGGCTTTCTGAGGCTGAGGAAGAGGCAGAAGAGAAGTTGGTTTGCTGAAGTCCAGAAGTGGCTGTGAGCGTGAGGACGCCTGCCTGGAAGGCTGCAGAGGAGAGGAGGGGAGGGCATTGGGGGAGGCTGCCACGGGGGACTGGTGGGGAGGAGGCTGAGGGGACTTACCCAGGAGCAGGAAGAACAGCAGAGCCAGCAGGGTGTCCATGGTGCTGGCCACATCCAAGAGGACACTGGAGTGGGACCCAGGGCCCGCACCCGTCCCTCCCGGGTTGGACGAGTTGGACAGGACTGGTAGCTTAGCTTCCTGGGCGGGGAAGGGAGCCAGACTCAGCGGGAGGTGCCAGGATCCCACCCGGATCTGATGGCTGAGCTATGTACCCCACCCCTATGCTTTTCATCAGCTGGTCCCATCTGCAGGAAGGCCCAGCCTGACCCCTGCACTCTCCACTCCCAGGGGAAGATGGGATAACTGAGTTCCAGCCCACAGCGTGGTAACAAATCTGTGGGGCAAAGCCAGGAAGACACCCTTGTGGAGGGTGAGGTGACCTTTTCTAGAGCCACACCTCTGATGGCTGCAGCCTATGCTGGCTGCCTCCTCCCCAGCTTCCTGGCCTCTGTCCACTCTATCTTGCCTGAAGCCTCAGATACTCACACTTTTTTTTTTTTGTCATGTTCTCACTCTGTTGCCGAGGCTGGAGTGCAGTGGCTCTATCACAACTCACCGCAGCCTTGACCTCCTCCTGGGCCTCAGGTGATCCTCCTGCCTAGCCTCCTGAGTAGCTGGGACTACAGGCACACGCTACTATACCTGGCTAATTTTTTTTTTTTAACTTTTTTTGTAAAGACAAGGTTTCGCTATGTGGCCCAGGCTGGTCTTGAACTCCTGGGCTCAAGCAATCCTTCTGCCTCAGCCTCCCAAAGGGTTGGGATTACAGGCGTGTGCCACCGAACCCGGTCAGATACCCACATTTGACTCTGCTGCAAACCCTCCCATGACTCCGTTGCCTCAGAACCTAGCTTCCAGTTGCCGAATCCTGCCCAGTCCTCGCTCCTGAGGCCCAGAGCCGCATCCCAGGCGCCCCGTGTCCCGCTAACCTCAGATCTGTCCTCTAACCCAAGCCTCCTCTTGGGTTCTCACGCCGATCCTAGTGATCCTAGTGCATTCCCACCTCCTCTTTCCCCCTCGCTGCTGTCAATCTCTGAATCCCGCCCCTACCCCTATCTCCGCCCCATTCCCCCTCCTGGTTCCCACTGCCCAGCTCCCTCAACGCCTCCCCCCCCAGGGTCTTTCTACACCAGAGTCGACCCTGTCCTCCCC